TCGTCACAAAATTGTCAGTACTAGCTTTATTGTTGGAAGGTACAAGGAGTACAAAGGCAGTTCTATGAGTGAGCATTGGAAAGTTTGTTCATAAGTCTTCATTTTAAGATATCCTGAAAGAAAGCTCTTATTTCATATTAAATAATTGTTTCAGTACCTACGTCTACAGTGTCGGAGATCTATGTGAAATACAATACACCTGCTTCTGGGACTAGTTTACGAAACTTTTGGAATTGCATGAGATGTACACCGACAAAACGGGCCGCATTGTAGTTTAACTGAGTACTAGTTTTCGGGCAGCTAACAACTAAGAGACGAGTTGCGGTTGGGTTGAAGATCACATAAAGACCACAGAAAACTGGTTTAAACTATTCACACAGAGGCATTATCACAAATTTAAAAAATTGAATTATAATACGTAATATTTTATTACTGTTTATGAGTAATTACGTTTCATCATAAGCAATTTGCTTTACGTATTACGTCTCGGAAGTAATAAAGCTACAAATTCTGTACAGAATCAAAAATGAAGCACTTTCAATAGTAGATCAATAGTTACAATAAGTAGAAATTTAGATGAAAATCACAATTCATACTAATAGAATCTTATCCTCAGAAGGAATTACGTACTATATCTCAAGTTGGTTTCCTAAACTGTATATTTCGTTTTAAGGAAATGTAAGGAAAACTACTAATCAGACGTTTCGGATCTTCAATCTGTATGAGTTTAATAAGCAATAACAAATACATGTAAAGTATTACTCAGACATTAGACAAAATAAATTGTTCGTAATTGTTGCACACATTAACAAACCAGAAACATTGCTTAGAAACGCTGATGAACTCAAATAGTTGAGACAATCTCAACAGCCTACTGACTATTTACTTCGATCGCTACCTGACATAGCTCGTCAATCAAGTAGTACTAAACATACTTTCAAGCGAGCGCACAAAATTGAAGAAACTATTGAAATCTTATTACCTCAATCACTGATATCGACGTATCATCATCGTTGTAAACATCACTTAAGAAAGTAAACTATGGCAGACAATACGAAGACTAACCTCTTACAGCAAACCACGAGAACAATTAAAGTAAAGTTACATGATCATGACGTAGAGCGTAATTGCAAATCCTCGCTCAACGCAAATCTGAACTACTGTGCGACGAAGTTGCGTGATGACGTCACTGGCATCGCACATCCGTTCAAGCAGATTGCAGATCACAACTATTCTCGAAAAATTCGAAAATATGTACCTCGCCGATGCTCGATTCCTGCGATAAAGGTTCGATTATTTTTCTTCTCTCGCTTAATAATTACGTGACCTAGCTTTTACAATTCTAAAAGTTTAATACACTGTAAATCCACACTTTTTCATTACATTTGGGAATAGTGGATGCCACTTACAACCTAAATAATAATGACTGCATATAGTACATCATAGCTTGTAGAAAGGCATTACCGTTCTACGTTATAACATTCGTTGTATTTTAATTTTCTTATAGTACTCAAATTCATTCACTTATTTATACTAATCATAATTACCTTTCATTACTGTGTAATGAACTTCATAGATCTTTACGAACCCCGTCGATTAAATCATATTGGATAATTTTACTTGTTTTAGATTAAATATTCAAATGTTTAATTTTAAGTAAATTGTCCACTTGTTTAAAAGCGTGATGTATAAATCTCTCAGTTTGTAAAAATCACACGAAGGTACTACAGTTGAATTATGTAGTTATTATGTCCTAGGATACAAACATAACTCTGAGACAAGAACTTCTCATTAAGCTACGGCCAGATGTATCACAGTTCCTGAAAACACGCAGACCAATGTATTATTACAATATTTTTTTAAATTTCTTTCGCTGTATTTTGTATTTCCAAAACAATCCAGTAATAAACAGAATCAATAACGTTTTAATTTATAACACAATCTTTCAGTTTTTAATGCCTTATTTTCTGGAACACAGGTTCTCTCTGTATTCTTCCGTCTGGGACCAACAGAAAGACACGCACTGAACTGCCCTTAGAAATATAAGGGTGGCAAGACACGTATCAACTTCAAGAGGTTCATAAAAGCCTCGGATGTGTGCTATTTCAATCGCGCGGACTCTCTGAACTGTTGCAATAGCTTCAGGTTCTTCTGGAACGTAACATGGCGGAATAGAAATAATGATTTTGTTAACAACTAACATACGAACTAGTAGCCTGATGAGCTTATGAACTATTTTCACAAATTTAATTAATCATGGATTATCAATATGAAACAAAAAAGAATTAAATATTATAATATTTGTTTTTGCAGGCGTCGTCACAATTGCATCTACATGAGTGTTTCGCACATTCGGTGATATTCCAACTAATATTTTCACCTTTCATTTCTTGTATAATGTAATCAACGAAACATTGCTCATTTGTTGAAATTCGTACTTAATCTCCGAGCCACATTGTACGTGTAATTACCCCAAAGAAATTAAAAAAAACAGTTGCAGTATACCATCCATGATACTGTCACAAGTTCCCTTGTATCATGGATCTGGTATATTGCAACTGTTCTTTTTTTCGGTGCACATATTTGCGGACACCCCAAATTAACCCAAGGTCCACCGTTTGAACACTGTCTGGCATATACCTAAGTTCAAATAGTACAATATTGTTTTGACAGTCATTGTTATTCGTTTTACATTATTGTACTATTATTAAAAATAAATTCAAATAACGTGCCCGTGCCCTATATTCCCCGACGTTTGAGACTCAGGGATATCATTTTCCAGGGTTTTAATACGTAATTCAACTTTTTTGCAAATGCATGTAATAGTTATTTATGATACGAGCAGTAAAAATGTAATTTTATTTTGGAGGTATTACTCGGGCAACTTTTCTTGAACGATGGATTGACGATTTCGGGTGGAGTGGGGGTATTAGTTACAAAGTCGGCCACTAGAGTATTTTAAGTAATGCCAACGTCTGAGAAATGAAAGTCAAAACTGCATCTTGTGCTTAACTTTTTCGGGAGTTTTAGGTGATTTCCTTGAAGGACTTGGACCTGATTCAGCCATTTCTTTCGATATTGACAATAAACCTGAATAGGGGTTCTGCACTATGAAAGCAACTGGCTTTGACTAGCTACTGTTTCGCGCCAACGAAGTTTTAATGCTTAGAAGGTTGTCATCAGTGACCGCTGCGAGCTTTTGCCTTCAACTGTTTATTGCACAAGGGAGTGGGATCAAGGTCATCGTTCAAGAAAAGTTGCGCGAGTAATAAGTATTGCGGCACGAATCAAATATAGCTAGAGTCGCAATTCACGAGAAAAATAAAATAAATTTTATCACGTGTGTCATACACTATATTTTATAATGCCTTACAGATCTTAATTTTATTTTAATTCAAGCATACAAATTTCAGTTTCATTGAGATTAGTAGTAGCTGATGCGGTCTGACGAATACATTTTGTTTTCTTTGTTGTATTCTCAGATTTATTGAGCATTGTTTCACTTCAATACTAAAAATGTGACAAAAAACGAACTTTTGGCACACTGCCATACCCTAAAATTAACCGCTTTCAGTAGTGATGGTCTAAAATATGTATTGATTGAAAATTAAATAAGGCAAAAAATAAGGCAAATTCAAATTCAATAATATTTAACAAAATATGGTTACATAGATCAAACTAGTCAGATTTAACTTTAAAAGGTAGACATATGCCACCTTTATAAGTGTATTTTACTTTCTTCTCACGAGAAATTTAACGAAAAAATTTGGAGCCAGTTTTGAGAAAATTTTGAACATGTCCCAAGGTCTTCATGTAAAGTACCCCCAAAAATTAATAAATGTTTTTCAAAACCGCAGAGATTTGGCTCAGGCCAAATTGACAGGGGTTTTTTCAATTTGAAAAAACTCTATTCATTGTTTGGACGCTAGTTTTGTTCACATACATCAGACGGACGGACGTTTTACTGTAAACTGATTTTTCGGTGAATTCTCGGCTATCCGGGAGACGCCGCGTCGTTGGCTGGGGTGCCGACGTTTCGCCTGACATGTCGCAGGCTTCCTCAGGGCAGTGACACTGCGGCGCTACGCGCCCGGTAATTTAAACTATCCTGCCTAGGCTCTCGGGAGGGGCAGGTGCGCTGTGATTGGCGGAGAGGTCTCCCTGATTGGCCAGCGGTCTGGGCCAACCTGGGCCTTGCGCCAGATGTCCCCGTGGTCGGACGGTGATGAACAGTGGGCCGGATAGCCGAGAATTCATGGATTCGAGCCGCGGAAGCTTACGTATACATCTGATTTTTCGGTATCAAGGAGCCATAAAACAGAGTTTCTGGCTACACTATGTGTTAGAAGATTTTTGTTCTTAAGTCAGCAACTGGATTTAACCACTTTTTCGTTATCAGAACCCATGAGCGATTCTTTTTCGGCCGAAAACCCTCCGTTTTTCGCGCAGCATTACATAACTTTCTCCATACTACATATATTACGTACGTATACGAGAGAGTAAAGAATATGGTTGTACTCGCATGGGCACTGACAATGTATTGGCGACGATGGCATAACGGTGTACCCAAGTTGGCGGGTTCAAATCCGATCGAAGCATTGGATTTTGAAAGGTGAAAAAATCCTTCGTACGCCTTCCTTCGGAGGGGAAGTAAATACGGCTGTCCCATGTTCGTAGATTTACTTGCATGTAAAAGATCCTCAAGCCTAAATGACGTCTCTGAGCTAAATTCAAATCGCCTGTTTCTCGCCCAAGAAATACGTCCTTTCTCTCCTAGTTGGTGAAAGGAGCGTAGCGAAATTTGCGTGGTCAGACGGAAGAGCGGGCCTGATGGCCTGTCTCGCCACGTAAAATAAGGCAAATTCAATTCAATGTACGACAATCCATTTTCACCGTGTGCGTGTGTGTGTGTGTGTTTGCAGGTGGTGCCGTGGGCGGCGGGTCTGCCGGCGGCGGCCGCGGAGGCGGCAGCGGGGGCGGGGGCGGGTGAGGAGCCGGCCATGGCCGCCGACGTGCTGGAGGCGGCGGCGGCCGAGCTGGAGGCGGTGGAGGGCGGCGAGGTGGCGGTGGTGGCGGCGGCCGACGCTGAGCCCGCATCGGGAGACTCCTCGGCCTCCTCTTCCTCCACTGCGGCAGTCGTCGAGATCGAAGACCCGGAGGTAGGTTGATTCGTTCATTGGTTGACTCATGGAACCAGACAGACGTTATTCTGTTCTTCATCTCCCTTGGGATTTGATCTGATGATCTCTATTGATCTGAACGGATCTCACGAGTTCGGTTCCCGTCTTGTGTATCAGTTCTATATAAATAATATTATAAAAATTATTAATTTTATTGTAATTCTTACAATATAACCTCGCTATTCCGAACCCCGCAAATCCGAAATCCGAAAAAAATCTGAATTTTGAATAATCCGAACAAAATCGAGATGGGGGAAAAATTAATAAAATAAATAAAATTCTTATTTGTAATGTAAAAAACGAATTTTATAATTACTTTAGGATTGAACGACGAATTGCTGTAATTTTCACTTAGAAAAACTTGCAAAATCGGTAACTTTTGACGTAAGGGACTGAATCCGCTTGATGATACGATGTGATTCTTCGATTGCTACGCTACGTTGCCATTTTCTCACATCGCTCTTTACGTTGCATTGTGCCGACAATTCTACATATGCATTTGTGTATGTACGGTACGTTATTTCAGACTATTCGACTTGTGGAAGTAAAGCCAATTGTGTTTAACTATACACACGAAATGCCCCAACAGGGGCGGTGTATCTAAAAAAAGTTTATCGCTTTCTACAGCCGATTTTTCTTCGTGATTCATCTACCTTATAGTGTAGTACTGTATATCGATCGCTACGTAAATATTCAATAAATCGCGTATGTACTGTAGCTTAATCTATTTTATTTTATCATAGATTTCAGTTATTTTCAATATTTGACGCATTTTGAAACTTCTCTGGACATAATTTCACTCGTGGAATTGTCCAATTAAATACCACTCGTGGTTTAGAAATTCTCAGATAAATGCCCTCCTCGCTTCGCGAGTGGAGGATTTATCGAACATTTACAAAATCACTCGTACCTTTCAGCACATTGCACAGTCCAGCCAGGACTCGCTCTAAAGCGTCCGTCTGGTCTCCCGACATGTGTTGTAGTGTAGTGCATGTAAGTCATTTAAGTGTGAGAATGGAACAAGGTAGAAGAAGGAAATATCGCGTTCGGTCCGAACAGATCACACCCCCAATTGAGCCAGTCGCCAGCCAGCCAGCCGCCGCCCAGAACACTGCGCCCGCGACACTGCCGCCACTGAGGATGTCCACCGCAGGCGTGGACGAAACGTTTGGTCCAACAATGCCAACTAGATCACAGCCTACCAGCCCGGAAAATCTATCTTCAACACCCCCAATTAGTTGGGAATACCGGGGTTCTACTGTACTCGTCACAATGACTGTTTTCCAACTGATGTGTGTGTGTGTTTGTGTGTGTGTGTGTGTGTGCGCGCGCGCGTGCAAGGAAGAAGGATATATGTCGTGCGGTCCGAACAGACCACACACCCAATTATAATTCGGAATACCGGGGGTTCTCCAGTACTTGTCACAATGGCTGTTTCCCAACTGATGTGCGTGTCTGTGTGTGTGTGTTCGTGCTGCAGGACTCGACGGCGCTTGAAAGCGAGCCAGAGGCGTCGAAGAGCAAGCGAACCATCGCGTCCATGTTGGGCTACGGGGCCTACACGCCCTACAGCGCCAACGCCCTCCCGCACGACCCCCCGCCGCACCACCAGCACCAGCGCTACCAGCAGGCCTTCCACCACGCCCAGCAACAGCAGCAGGTACGGCTCGCACCAATCCACACGTGGATTTCATTCGAAGTTTTAAGGTACGCGTTTTCATGAACACGTTCGTACAAGTTCTCCACACTTGGACTATGGGACTTCGAAATTAAGAGAATTTTTAATGTAAGCGTTTTCAAGAACACGTTCGTACAAGTTCGTCTACACTTGGACTGTGGGAGTTGGTTCGAAATTAGCGGCAGTTTTAATGTACGAGTTTTCAAGAACACGTTCGTACAAGTTCGTCTACACTTGGACTATGAGAGTTAGTTCGAAATTAGAGGAATTTTTAATATACGCGTTTTCAAGAACATGTTTGTACAAGTTCGTCTACACTTGGACTGTGGGAGGTGGTTCGAAATTAGGGGTAGGTTTAATCTACGCGTTTTCAAGTAGACAATACGAGTTCCCGTTGATGTGAATTGAATGATTGATAGATATTTACATGTATGTCAACTCGTAGAGTCATATGTGCTGTTCAACTGATCACTTGTACTATCGATTTCAGTTCGAAATTTGGGTCAGTTTTTATGTTCATGCAAGACGTAGGTATAACCTCACCTAGTTATGGATTAAAGGAATGATATTCATGGACATGTCTACTACGACTGTTTTCTGTACCATTTGTGTAGTGCATGCTTTTATCGCGAGAGAGGGTGGTGATCTCCCGCTGGATGGTGAGATCCGGTGCCGTGGGCTTGCGGGAATTTTCCGGTAACGAGGTATCTCCCACCAGTGGGGAACCGCCCCAGCTATGACTCGCTCGAAGCTTCCAATTGATCTCGCGACATGTGTTGAAGTGTAGTGCATGCAAGTCATTAAGATATGAGAATAAAACAAGGAAGAAGAAGGAAATTTCGCGTGCGGTCCGTGGCTCGTTTGTTAGGCTTCTGCTCCGGCATTCGTCTGGTATTGATCGGTGAAACCACGGAAAACTACTGAATCCGAGCAGTGGGCTACTACAGTTATCCTCCAGACAGCGCGAGACTCAATTCCACCTAGCCATCCAGCTAGTGCCGAAAAATCCGTCACCTCCCGGTCACATTTGATGGCTCTGAATTAAACTCAACCTGCCGAACTACCGTTACACCCGTACATTCAACTCAGGCCAGTAACGCAGGCACGGATAGCGTTTCGCTAACGCCACCTTCCCGCCCGCAGCAACCGCAGTACACCCAGCAGCAGCTGCAACAGTTGCAGCAGCAGCAGCAGCAGCAGTACCAGACGGTGCGCTACTACACGAGCAAGGCCGCGGCTGCGGCGGCCGCCGCGGCGGAGCAGGCCGCCGCCAGCGCGCCGAACGTTGCCGGCCGCCAGCCGCACTACCAGATCCAGTACCAGTTCCAGCCGCAGTACCAGCACGTGCCACACTACTACCCGGTGGCGGCGCAGCAGCTGGTGGCCGCCGCCTCCGCCGCGCAGCCCGTCGTCTACCAGCACCCGGCCGCCGCCGCCGCCGCGCCCCACGCCGCCCCGCACGCGCTCTTCGGCGGGCAGCAGGTGCGTCTCTCTCAATACGAATCGGTGCGAGCGGATCTCGAAGAACGAATCATTAGGAACGATTCTTAATGAACGAATCATTACGAACGATTCTTTATGGACGAATCATTAGGGACGATTATGAACGAATCATTACAAAAGTTTCTTATTGAACGAGTCATTGTGATCGTTCACTAATGGACGAATTATTGGAAAGGAATCATTAGAAACGCTCCTTAAACAATGAATCATTAGGAACAATTCTTAAAGAATGAATCATTAGGAACCCTACTTAAAGAGCGAAACATTACGAACGCTTCTTAAATATAATCACAAACGCTTTCTAAGATAATTACGAACTCGTGTTAAAGAAAAAACAGTACGAACGCTTCTTAAAGAACTAATCATTACTAACACTTCATGAAGAACTAATCCTTTCTAACGCTTCTTAAAGAAGAAACCATTACAAACTTGAAATAAAGAATTATTACGAAATCTTATTGAAGAAAGATTCATTGGACAAGATGCGCAAATGAGTGAACCGAAACTATCTCAAAGAACAAACGGTTACACCACCCCTAAGTTTTGACTTAAAAAAAAAACATGGAGGCCACTAGCTCAGCGATCCCTCACCAAGAGTGTTGAAACTGTAGGGACAGCTACTCTATGTAGTACATTCTAGTTAGTTCCGCCAAACTAGAATAATTTTTTTACCAGAGAGCGCTGCTTTGCTGCAAAAAAAACAACAACATGGCATCAATTTGCTGCAAAAGTTAGAGGCGCTTCAGCCACTCTATGTAGTACAGACTACGTCCAGAAATAAGGTTCCGTTCGGTAATAAAATTAAACTGTGTACAGATACAGAAACGTTATTTATTTCACAACTCTTAAACTACTTTTCCACGTAACTGCGTTGCTCTTCCCCGACCCGCTCACCCGTTCGTTCCACCAGCAGCTGATCCCGGTGATCCTGGTGCGCGTGGCGGACCCCGCCCAACACGGCCTGGCGTCAACGGCGTTGCTGCCCGCCTCCGCCCTGGGGCTGCACCACGCCGCCGCCGCCGCCGCCGCCGCCGCCCCGGCGCCCGCCACCCTCAACCTTCAGGCGCTGTTCCTGCAGCACTACATGCAGCAGCAGGCCCAGCAGCAGCAACAGCTGCAACACGTGCAGCATGTGCCCGCCACCACCTACTACATGCAGGACACGCCGCAGGTGAGGTTTGATTGGGTGGTGAGCAAACATTTGCAGAGTGGCTGAGGGGGATACTGTGTGTTGGGCGTTGGCAAACATTTGCAGAGTGGCTGAGGGGGACACTGTGTGTTGGGCGTTGGCAAGCGAGAAAAAAAACTAGCGGTGCTTAAACCACGTAGATTCTGTCCTGTACTTTCACGCAAAATTACCCGAAAAGTACTAAGATGTTCGAATAATTGTACTTGACGTTGTGTTCGCCACCACCTACTACATGCAGGACACGCCGCAGGTGAGGTTTGATTGGGTGGTGAGCAAACATTTGCAGAGTGACTGAGGGGGCCACTGTGTGTCGGGGATTGGCAAGCGAGAAAAAAAAACTAGTGGTGCTTAAACGGCACGTAGATTCTCCCCCGTACTTTCACGCAAAATTACCCGAAAAGTACTAAGATGTTCGAATAATTCTACTTGACGTTCTTTCAAAATCTATCAATGAGAACCAGATTTAATTAAGGGAAAAATCTCCATTATTGTAGTTGTAGGAAGACGTCAAAAACTTTGACTTTTTGCTATTTTCAAAAAAATCACGGTTTTTAACACACATGAGACCAGCACCAAACGTTCTTCACAGTGGCACACAGGCTATCTCATTTGCTCTGTCTCCATAGCTCACCAGGCAGGAGCAAAATATTTTCTCATTACTTTTCACTAGCTCAATAATTGTTGAGCTACCACATCTGCTCTATCCTGACCCGAGCAGAAGCAAAGGTTCTCACTGCCTTCCATGGGTTCAATAACTGTTGCACATGGATTAACTCATCAGTCCAATCTTTACTGCTCGCCGTGTAGAATCAAAGTAGATATTCATTGTCATCCACGAGTTGAATATTTGTTGCATATACGTTAGTTGTGTTGTCTCTCCAAAGGTGACCGAGAAGTTTTTTTTTCTCAGTCTCGTTAAAGTTCTGAGGTTCAATAACTGACAATTATACGCTCTCTCTCATCTGCACTCTCTTCACAGCTGACCGAGCAGAAACAAACATTTTTTTACTGCCTCACACACACACTAATTATCGCGCATGGTCCAACTCATCTGTTCTCTCTCTCTCTGCAGCTGACCCAGCAGCAGCTGAAGCAGCTGTACGCCCAACAGCAGGCAGCTGCCGCGGCCGCCGCTACATCGTTGTCGTCCTCTTCAGCCGCTGAGGGCAAGAAGCCCATTGCCGCCTCCGCCGCCGCTTCCTCCGCCTCCACCGCCCCTCAGAAGCCCCGAAAGTCCTCCAGCGTCTCCATCGAGCCAGCGCACAACCTGGACAACTCGTACCAGCAGTACAAGTTCAGCAACTACAAGGACAAGAACTAAATCGGCGGTACCGGCCGTCGTCTTCTACCCGGAAGTCAAAGTCAAATCCGATTTCAGAAGGCTTTGCGTAGAAGTCGCCCCAGGCGAAGTTCTTTCCAACTGAATTCTTTGCAGGTGAAACAGAAACAATATCATAAAATATTTTGGTTAAAAAAACAGTTCGGGGTTTCATGCAGCATCGTGCAAAACTGCCAGCTTTCGGAAGATTCCACACTCATCCAATTTGGATTTAACGAGGTGTGAACAAACGGATGGTTTCTTTAAAAAAATCCTGCAAAGAGGATATGATTTTATAAAATGTTTGTGAAGTATAGAAATGGGTGAAGAACTACGAATTTTAAAGCGTTAGTAATGCAAGTCTTTTGAGAAAAAACTATTTACACATTTTCACAAGAAATAGAACCAATTGCATTGGTTAAATTGGGGCATCTGCCTATAATTTATTTTTTAATGAATGGATGAACTAAAAGGGACCAACGGAAGGCAAAACCTGAGACGCCAAAAATTATACTTACGAAAATGATGCCTGAAGAAGTACCTGTCTTGAGTAATTCATTTCATTGATTAGTCAGCATGTCAGAATAAAATGACAATACTTCATCAAGAAATCTGTCTCTGTGCTTTACATAAAAATAATTAAGAATCATGACATACGTTGTCACAAAAAAAAAGATTAGTTAATCCAAGGAGAACTACAGGTCTTCAACAGTATCAAAAGCTATCTGACAGCCATTAACCACATCCTAATGAATCTCTAGCACAAAAATACCTTTGTTCACAACTGCCATAACACTTTATTTTGTAGGTGAGTAATCACCCTTTTATTATTTAGGAACCTTACTTCTAGCCGTCAAGTTTTTCCCTTGGATAAACGGTGCCATTACTTCATCTGTCTAATTCTATATTTATTCTTTGTACATAGTAAGCTATTTTTCTAATGCTGGATTTTTGTTTTCGAATCCAAACACAATATTTTTGTTATATCTTTTTTGTTTGAGTTTGTATTTGTTAAGCTCTCAGTGAATAAATTAACTGGTGAGTTATGCATTTGTTTTCCTTTTTACGAATTACCCAGCAATTGTTTCCTTTTACCAATAACCTTGACATTTAAGTACGCATTTAAAGAGGAATGAAAATAAAGAAATATAATTTATCCACTTTCGTTAGGTAAAGTAAAAGATTATGCCATTAAAATCAGTTTTATAATGAAGTACTTTATCGCACTAGTGTGGTAATATATTTCATTACGAAACTAAGGCGGTAAAAGAAGGCGAGCTTTGCTATTCTTCTTTTGAAAATATTTTGAACTTTTTTGTCTTGTAGCCTTCACCTTTCCTCTTTAAAAACGCTAATAACTTAGTAAACTTACTTAGTATATCAATATTGTCATTCGGTGATATTGTACTCATTAATACAGAGTAGTGGGCCCAACATTACTTGGATTCTCCTTTTCTGACGTGACACCAAAGTAAGCAATCAAAACTTTTTCCGATATGGTGTAGCGTCGTGCCACGCTCAAACCGCCGGATGTTAAACAAAGGGCGGAGTGATGACATACTGGGACTTTCCGTGGACGTAGCGGGCCCAGAGCGACTTTGGGGAGGAGGCAATCGGGGCGTCGGGTAGAGCCAAAGGACCTATATAAGGCCAGTAGAACAATGCCCCAGTCTTCCTGTGCTAGCGGCGTTGGCGACCGGTGAAGTGCGTGTGTGTGCGAGTAGGTGCACTAGAGCGAGGGGCTGGTTATTCATTGTCGTGACTTGCGAGACGCGTAGATGGTCTCAACGTAGAGCGGCTTCATACAGTGAACATCGGTGGTATGTTCTTAAATTATCTCTCCTTGTAGTGGGTCTATTTATTTAGTGTATTTTTTTTAGATAGATAGATAGATTTATTAAAGTTCGCTTTGAGCTAATGCTCGGTGGCAAACATGATAACAATTAGAATTAGAATTACAAAACAATTTTAACATTTACAATTAGGTTTACTATTAGAATTAGGGGTCGATATAATAGTTTCAATTTATTTCTAGCTACTCTAAATTCACTTCTAGTTTACATAACACTTCACTACACTACACTACACTACACTACACTACACTACACTGCACTCCCCTTCACTGTATAAGGGCCATGACGATAATAATTATGACAATAATAATAATAAAAGTAATAGTAATATTAATAAAAGCAATAATATTAACAATAACAATAATAATAAAAGTAATAATAGTAATAATAATTATAATAATAACAATAAAGATAAATGTCTCAGTCAGTATTATTCAAGATGATCTAGATGGAATGAAGTATATTTTTAAATTTGGCTATATTAGAAGGAAGAGCCTCTAGTGCTTCTGCAGGTAGTTTATTCCAAGTTTATTGCAAGCAGGGTAGTTGTTAAATTGAGATTACGGTCTAGATTGTTAATAAATCTACTGTTTTACAAACCACTCTCGTCTGTGTTCAATTACACCCGTATGACGCCACAATGGAATGAACGTTGTTTTTTCACACCGGTATTAAAAAAATAAATACTCACGCTCGTATTTCTTTCTCGATTTATCGAGTACCAATGTTTCTATAGCAGCATTTACTGCTATTTTTATTTCTGAATCAGAATTATATTCACTCATGTCAGAAAGCATTCAACAAGTGTCGCCACTTATAGGAGAGAAAAAAACGTCAGTACTAAATGAAGATGTGAGACGAAATTTAATTTTAAATCTAATTTTTTACAAAGTGGAGAAAACGTACGATATTCGTGTAGTAACATCTTATTACAATACTCAATTGCTTAGCAAACTCGGTTAGAAAACTGAAAATAATGACGGCAAGGACTGAAAAGGCAAAAATAAAGCAAAATATCCAAAGTAGGCACCATAAGCTAAAATAGGCTTAAATAGGCAAAAAAGGGAAAATAAGAATCTATTGTAAATTGTATTCATCCCCAATGTAGAAAAAAACAAGTGCTTAGGAAATGAAAATTTCAATGCAATTTTAACTTCACCATGATACCAAGAAAAAGTAATATAATTTTGCAAAACTATTGATATTATAACTGAATTGTAATTGTATTTATTAATGCATTAGTCGCTCATGACCTTTGTAGTTTATGCGACTTAAAAATAAAATTAATATAAACAAATAATTTTTTTTAATAATTTAAAAAAATCTATTCTAATCTGAACTTCAGATGTGTAATTAAATGATTCCTACATTTGAAAGATATAAAATCCTTAAAAAAACAAAACATTTTGCCAAGCTTCCGGGCCCTAGTTATAACTACCGATAAACATAAATTTATTAGTAACCTATTAGCAGAGTATCTAAGGAGTTAAGTAGATATTTAGAGGCGAGGGTGACTTACAAACTCGAGAGAGTCAGATCCGAGAGGTTAGAAGATGCGTAAGGGACAAACACATCAAGTAACGTCCGAGGTACAATCGACGATTTATGGTTTACAATTTCGTTGCTCGCTGAAACGATAATTCGAAACACCTAGCTATGTGACGTGCATCAAAAGTGAAAAGGCGCAATGTAATGGTCAGTTTCTATATGGCATCTGATAAACCACACGGAATAGGAATCTAATTACTGCAGAATACTCTTTTGTTGAGAATGTTTTTTTTTCTGAGATTGGAAGTATATTGTAAGTTTCGTAGGAAACTTTCCGTAATTAAATTTCCATATTATTGTATAAAATAATTTGTACATCGAATTATTTTTTTCTTATTTGAGAAGTCTGCCTTTTATTAATTCCAATTACCGTTCCTTATGTTTGAAAAATCTAATTCATAAAAAGTGAGTTCTTTGTGAATTAGTACCTGCGCGGGGTAAAAGATTTGAAAACGCCCGCACACATAGAAACAGATCACATGAGGAAATTGAATGCAAAACAAGCGAGTACCAAATTATGCTAACTTTCAGAGTTGTTTCAAAATCATTTGTAGTAATATTCATCAAATCTTCTGTTACAAATCATCCTATTTGTGGGAGTATTTTACTACACTTGGGTCCGTATCCTGCATCCCAATTTCCATGCCCCTCCATCATTCCCATCATTCTCTTCTAGACCTCTTTTCATGTATCTTTAAAAACATGAGCCTTCCATTCCTTTCTGAGTCCTCTCTCTTTCTTCTGTCTAATGGAAACCACTCACAAACCTTTCTGGCACATCGCTCATAATCCAGCATTTTCATGATATAAATTATTTTAGCTTTCGTGTTTCAATAAGTTTCGATAAGCAAGACATGGAAGTCTAAATATTTTTTTAAATATGAAATAATTTAATCACGCTGAATCCGTCCAAAAGTTCCTTATTAATAAAATGCAACAACTTTTACTTCAGTAAATCTGGTTTCAAAAGTGAAAATGGCTTCATTGTAGAACCCAAATTCGAATGGCCAGCTTATGAGCTGGGGGTTATACCATTATATGCTCGGTACTGTGCGAGAGAAGTGATTCTATGTAGTGCAGCGCCAGTCCGGATAGACGAGATCGGTAAGGCAGTAGTGCCGTAGCGATCTCAGGCGGAAGGATCGCGAGTCCTGCCTCGGACACGGTTGTATTTGAGTTCGACGTTTCACACCCCCTATCATCACAGTTAAATGCAATAGAGGTCGCTAATGACCTAGATGTTGATGCGACCATAAATAACCAACAAATCTATTGATTATTAGTTATTGTTTTTAATTAACTGCTCTCTTGAAATTTATTACCAGTCAATGTAAGCTTAGTTCATGTAAAGTTAAGATATTCTGTCACCAAAGTGCGATAATTAATTGCAGAATTAATCATAAATCTAAATCTAATATTCTAAATTTACTTACGGTTCACTATTAGTTTCAGCAGAACGCAAAGTGCCAAGTTTGCCACAAATATTTTTTTGTCGCCAGAGGTCTTCAGTTAAGTTTTGTGATTTGTACCAGACTGTCCAACATATTATATTTACTTCAAATAGATTTACTGTAATTTACTTCAATATACATTTCAGGTACTAATTTTGAACAAAATTAAAACATTATGGTATTATTAACTTAATTATTTAAGATAAAAATATCTATCATAAATATTGAACTTTTCCCAATGCTTTGTCAGTTTTGAAAAATTCACCAAAAATAGAACTAGCACTTTTTTATCATTAATTTATACATACGAGATGACAATTTGAAGAAAAAAACTGTAGCTCTTTAAAAAACATATCTTTTAAGTTGCCAATATTACAACAATTATGCTAAAACTATTTCGAAAAATTCTGTATAACCTTATTTCAAGATGTCTTTGAAGTACAGATTGCGTTGAGACAAAAATCTCTATCACCAATATTGTTGTAGAAAGATGCAATTGTTGTTGCAATTTTCGAAAAAATGAGGGATTTCAACATAAATAAGACTCGCCCCATTCCTTTTAGTACTCTTTATATTATAAGAGCACAATATGTAATAAAATAAATTGGAACGAAAAGGACCGACCGACCGACCGACCGACCGACCGACCGACCGACCGACCGACCGACCGACCGACCAACGGACGGACGGACGGACGGACGGACGGACCGAGGACACACAAAACGTGGATTCCGACTTCACAATGTGTAAAGAGGAAGTAATGTAGTCCATATAGAAACAAGATTTATCTACTCATTCGGTACCATGGTCCGTCAATAAACGTTTTTTCTACTAAAACTTCTCATTTTCTGGCGCATGTTTACAATAAGTCGTTTCTTACAAAGAAAGCAAGCAACAATAAAAGCACCTAATAACATCATAAAAATGAAATTTGATTTTTTACAGCTTGATAGAAACACAACAATACTTCTGCAGTGACAAAATACAACTCTTAATCTACCATGCGTTAAAATCTTTATAATCCCTTAAATGCTGAAGTTTGCCTTTGCGATAATATAACAATATAATTATATTACAACGTCACCCCCTTTTCATTAGTTAAATCATTAAACAGAAGATAATTACTTACTTTTAGGGTGTGGTTCACTGTTGTACATTCACATCGGTCACTACTTGTTGTCCTCCGCCTTATTT